AGGGGACACCATAAATCCACGAGAGATGTTTGGCAGAAACATTAGTAAAAATTAAATTAAATATTTTCTTGCTGGAACGTTCTGCCAATGAACAAAACCAAGTCTGTCAAAACCAAGTCATGGAGGGGGAAGAGGGGGTGGTCAGAAGGATGGCCCAGAATAGCCCCAGAGACCAGATTTCATCCCAAGGAATAGGAAATGATACACCCATCTACAAAGTCATCTCTTCTCCTCCTCTGCCATGACGTCAAGGATTTTAAGTGAATAATTAGGTTGATGAGCTAACTCCATTACTGCCTATCATGGCAATTAATATTGCCTGACTCTCTCTGCACTGCTCTCTGCGATCTATGGCCTTTCATTCTGTTGATTGATGACTCTCTGGGTCAGGACCATCTTTGGTTTCTGTCTGCACAGAAGAGCCGTGCTCCAGAACTAGGCACTATGGAAATACCTAATCCTGCCTTTGTGGGGGATTCTGAGTAGGCCACCATTTTTTTATGCTCCTTCTCCATCTGTAATATAACCAGAAAATACTTGTGTCCAGGAGATGCTATGCAGGGGCTAAGTATTGCTTGCTAAGATTTATTAAGATTTTTTTCATGGCCATGTTCATTCTTGTGAGTGACACATAAGAACAAAAGAAAAAGCATGATGTGCCCTACCAGAATGAAATAGCTAACCCTTAATAGTTGGGGATTTTTAGCATTTTTTGATAAGTTTTAGTGCTATATCTAGAATGAAAAAGAGACTTACAAATCACTTTTATATACATCTTTTAAAAGCACGCGTTCTAGACTTTTTGAGAGAAAAAGAGGGAAATAAAATTGACAAATACAGTTTTGGTTTAAAGAGCATGACTTATTCCTCAAATACTCCAAGAAAGAAAAAGGAAGCTTTCCAAGCGATTATTAAACAGAAGTAAAGACATCAAATACTGATTAGAATCACATATTAGCAGCAATCCACAGGTAGGGAAGCRCACCGGATGGTCTGCCCCCTGCCTGAGCTTGTGCTCAGACCTGTAGGAGCTCTGCTGAACAACCACCCTAAGTGCTCCTGCCTCTGAGAGCAGCAGTGCTSTCAAGGGAAACAGACCTAATGGGTCTGCCCGTACAGAGCTGCTCTGGGAGCGTAACTGTACAGTGCTTTGCAAGTCAGGTTCCCCCTCAYGCCTTACCAGCTCAAATACTTCTGTACTGAGGAGTTAATATTGTGAAAAAAATAGCTGATGTTTATAAGAGAGCTCCCTCACCCTCCTACCTGCCTTGCCCTGCCTTTGYACTAAGCTGATTTCCAACCGCTGGAGCATCCTGACCCTGCAGTGCCAMGGGAATCCCACGGGCTGCTGCTGCTGGGATGAACACGGCCTTGGCGGGCAGCACCGGGGCTGCCTGCATGACCACAGGTGGGGAGACACAACAACCACGGCATCTGCACAGGTAGAAACCAAGTTCCTAAGGTGAGGTGCCCATGCCACACAGATGATGTGTGACAGGGTAGGAATTCACTAGAGATCCTGTAACCAAGCAATGTGTTTTGAAGAAAGAGGGAGCTTTCAGACAGCAAGTTGCTGATCTTAGTGTTTGGCATTTTATGTTAATGTTTTCTCTACATACAATACCAACGTAAATTGTTCTGCCTGACTGAAAATGGTAACKAAGAATGCAAAAAGGATGGTCAAGCAGGAGAGCCAGCAGTGACTGCAATTTCCCCAGCACTTAACGTGGACAAGGAAGGATCGCTCCCGGAGCTAGGCCAAGGCTTCCAACAAGGCCAACAAAATCACCTTCTGCTCTTCCACAAATGAAGGCTGCCAGCCTCATTGGGGTGGGCTCCCATCATGGAAGGGGAAGCTGCAACAGGAAGGGCAACCCAACATACTGCGAGCTGAACTCACTGATCTCACAGGAACAGAGAACAAGAAATGAGGTGACCCCAAGCCCTCCCCTGCAGCAGCAGTTCTTCCCACACATGTTTCCAGAGTCAAAGACAGTGAAAATGGCACCGCTAACAGGGCAGCTTTGCGGCCTATTTTGCCAAAGTCAGTCCTCTTTCAGCAGGACATTTATTTTCCTTCTAAACCTCTAAAAATTTTGCTCATGTTCTTAGCTGCTGTAGAGGCACATTTACATTGCCTGAGTGATCTGCCCTTCCTGCATGTTCCCACTTGGTTAGCTGACCGTGAAAGGTACTCAACACCAAAGTTATTCACTGCAAAATGAGGCCTTGCTTTGGAAAGTCTGAGGCAGAGGGACAATCTGCAATTGGGTCTCCACCCCAAAACAGAGACTTAATTGTCAGTGGTGGAGTCATTTGCACTACAGGAGCCTAAGCTAGGAGAATAATRTATATATATTATTTATACTGTTCATATAGAAGAGTAGTCTAATATATATTATTTATACTATTCATATATAAATCTATGCACTTTCTTGTACCCACAAGCAATATTTGGTTTTTATGCCACTTCTGTTCCATAAATGATTTACTGAGCAGAAATTCTAACCAAGTGCCATTTGCTTATAAAAAGCAAGTGATAAGCCSTTAGAGAGAAGTGCATTTTGGTGTATTTACACCAGAAAAAAAAAACAGTGATTCACAGTTTTGTTTATGAGAACAAGCAAAGAGAAGAATCTGGGGAACTCAACCACTTAAAATTATGAAGTGTCCAGTGAGCTGCCGACTAGGAGGTTTACATGGCGTTCATCTAAATGTGGCTTTTGTGTTGAGAAAACCAACCAACCAACCAGATCTTTTCATCAAAGGGAAAAAAGAGACCCCTGGGAAAACTAAGGTGTCCACAAATAGATATTTTTAACATCACACAAATCACAAAGGTTTAGAGGACCTCGCTTCGGGYCAGGAACATCAAGAACCTCTGGAGGTTCCTTCCCTCTTCATGAGGCAGTATGTTGCTCTCTCCCTTGCCTGGACTGCTTTCCCTGTTTATAAATAGATTTTTTTTTTCAAACATTTGAAACAGAATTAGCCTGAATTATAAAGTGTTTAATTCCACATTTTATCCTGAATAAAATGACCCTTGATATCAACATGCAGAAGCAATGAGAAGATTCATCCAGTGTTGCAGAATTTCCAAATGTTTCCAGGGGGAAGTGGTGGGGTTTTCTTTGAAAGCTCACAGGTGGCAAAACCAGGGAGTCTGTCCATTAGCAACAAGACCTTCCTGATGATGGCAGTTTCACAAGAGATGGAGGGGAAGGTGGGCTTGCACATAAAAGGAAAAATGCCAAATGATTTTCCTGTTTAGATYAGTTCTCTCTGTATGTTAAACATAGAAAAAAAAAGTCCCTTTTTAATGCAGTAAATAATATAATGATCACCAAAGAAGTGCTCTGGATTCATCAAGTTCCTTTGTTAGAGTCCAGGGAAGGTAGTAGCACTTCTGTGCTAAATGTGGGTGGAATTTCAAATGTACCACAGTGRAAAACACTCCTCCCATGACTAGGCTTTTCCATGTTAGCATGAATGTTCATGGTCCTGAATATTCATTTTAACCCTTCTCTAAGGTCCCTATCACCCAACCATTTTAGCACAATGATAATTAGRGCCAAGCCATGGAATAAAGATAGAAGGCTGTTAAGGAGATTCTGGATGTCATTCAGATGAGTGAGTATCTATTTCACTAAGGGAGCAAGAGGCTTAGAGGGGTGCTGAGCATCAATTCTGTTTCAGTTGACATTTTGCTAATTTACTCTCAATGGACAGGAAGAGAAATGCAACATATTTATAGTTCAGAATCTGAATCCTCTGGCACACCTGAAGATTTATTAGTCTGGTGGTGACTGGCTGAGGGTGGGCATGGCAAGGAAGAGCCACAAACTTTATTCTTTCTGTAACCATTATGCTTCAGTAATAAGCTATAGGAGGGACAGATCGAGTTCACCTTCAAGATAAGGATGCTGCCTCTGTATAGCAAATGACTTTACAGAAAACTTGAGAACAGAAACTTCCAAGGGCACTGCACAAGGTGAACCTATTCTGTTGGACAAAACAAGTGCTGTAAAATCTATGTGRAAGATGTGATTTTAATTTTCTTCTTATGGTAAATTGCACTGCTGAAAATGTGATCTGTTTCCAGGTAGTCTCTTTTCTCACATATCTTTCTAAAGAGCTGTAGTGATTCGCATACCAGATTTTACTGTGCACAAATGTTCAACCACAGTACCACAAGCCCTGCAGTTCTGAAATGCATTTGGTCTAAGTAGTCAGTGTATATGTCATACTTGCATTTCAGAATCATTGCTCTGACACCAAGTTTTCACAAAAGCTTTTAAGAAAAAGAAATATCAAAAAATATCCACCCTCCTCACTCCTAGGTATCAACATAAATCTTCAGATTTTCTAGAGATCTTAAAAAATACATCAGCAACTGCAAATTCTGAGAATTTGAAAATTTATCCCCAATGCTTTACAACATGCCAAATACAATTTTTTTTAAACATGCCTCTCCTGCTCAAGCTCATATGTCATCCTCAAGCCATGTCAAATTTTCTTTCTTTGGCAGAGGTGTGGAGGTGTAATACACAACCCTAGTAACATGCTGCTCAGAGGAAAATGGTTAGCCTGATATTACATTGACTTAGCCTTTCGGATATAGCTGGTGATCACAGATCCAGTGTTATCCTCCTTGGAAAAAGGAGATGGCTCATTAAAAAGGACCAGTGTCAAAGCACCTAGATGTCTAGATAAACTCGGGATGTACAAATGGACAGATCCTGTAACTGTTTCATTTTAATGAGCTTAGAGCTGGCAGACAGAGGGGCAGTGTTAGAGAAAGGCATCCCCAGAGAAATCACACAGCAAAGAGGCCATTGGGAACTTGTTGCCACCAGCCTCCAGGTCTGGTATTTGAGAGTCACGCGCCTGCTGCATCCAGGCTGTAGCTCCTGACAAYGAAAAGAACAGAGGTGACCCCTGATCCACAGCTTGTGTGCCTCCTAGGAGCTCACCAGGAGATCTTAAGGGGTAAAACCCACCTGGCAGATGAAACCAGTGGACGAGCACTGCCGAACCCAGAGACTGAATTTCCTCTTTTTCCTCTTGCGAAGCTCCCTCTCTGTGCATGTGGCAATGAAAATGGGATCCTCGTCAATCAGGGGCTCATGGAGCACCTGCAGTTTAAAAGAAAGAGGGGAAAAAAAGAAAAACAGAAGAGTTCAGAATTCCTGAAAAGAAACGGCACTTTATTCCATGGAAACACAATCTCTGCATCATTTCTGTGCACAGCAAGGAGCATATGAAGGAATTCATATAAATCCCTCATAATTTTGTTCAATGCTTCCACAAAAAGCTGACCAAGTCCCCTCCTTTGTGGATGGCTGCTCTACATTTCGTTTGCAAGTGTGGCCAGGCACAGCTCTGCGCCTCTCACCAGCAGCTACGGTTCATCATCCCAAACGAAGCAGAGTTCAGAGGAGCTGGGGTGAGGGAGGTATCAGTGATGCTCCTTTCAGCTTCATCACAAGCTCAACCTTGTTTAAGCAAACGTCTTCCACCCGAACACCCCCTATAATATGTTGCAAGGGACAGTCCATGTGCAAAGCAGGAGAGAAATTGAGAGAGAAAGTGTTTTTGGTTTTTTTTTTTTCCTACCACTTGGGGTGGTAGAAAAAGCGGCATTTTTCCAGGTGGCAGCAGCTTCACTTCAGGCTCTCTTGCCTCAAAAATGGAAAAATTTGACAAAAGGAAAGAGAAAGGAGAAGACACAAGGATAGAAAAGGACGATGTAGACTAGAGCAAGTAACAAATGTCTGTGAAAATGAAACTCTTTTGCACTCTGAATTCAGAAGATGTAAATGGCTCTCTATTGCTTACAGCCATTTCGTTTCTCTCAATTTACTGTGCACCAAAATTGTTAGGTTTTATACTACAAAACACACCTGTTAAAAAGTGCTATTTYCTCTTTGCAGGCCACAATCCATAGTATCTTTAAAGACATGTATAAAAAAAGTCAGATGGGTTGTGCCCTAAGGGAGCCCATTCTTTTCCAGTTTTCCAGGTCCTCTGGGAGCTCTGTCAGACACAAGGATCCGTAATGCAAAGGCTGTCACTCTTAGACAAGCTCTTTCAGTGTTTGCACGTGCTGCTCCTGTGCATTCACTCCGCATGAGAGCCCCTCTCCAAGAGCCCGGTGACAAGAATSAGAGCTGCATTTGCAAGGGAGCTGCGTTTGCAAGGGAGATGGGAGTGAGCAGCTAAGCACCACCCAGGAGGTCCAGGAGGCCAGAGGCCACCACCCAGGAGGTCCAGAGTATCTAGGAGGCCAGCAGCTGCTCAGATGCTGGTTGAACATCACTGTCAGCCCAGAATGGGCACCCATGCCCTGCCTGTGCAGTGGTGGCTGCACATGTACATTTATGTATCTCTGTATGCATCTCCACTTCTTCACAGCTCACAGAGCATTTACAGGCCCATCTGAAAGCACTCTTGTGAAATGTGCACATTAAGCACTAAAATGTAACACTACATGCAGATGTCAGCACGGAAAGTCACATACAAAACTACTTGTTCTTGAATCTGCAGCTGCCCCATTACCCCACTGGCACCAAGCCCCATTCCTTTCTCGAGGCCCACATCAAACACTGCCCTTTCTTTCGGAGAACCACCTGCAATGTTTTGCAATTCTACCTCAGAGTATGGACAGTGATTTGCAAATATTAGTCTTGACCTTATTCTTTTACGGTTTTCTACCTCTTCCCTGCAGAGGGAGAAATATATCCCTTGGGATGGAGTTCTACATGCTGTTAGGAACCYCTCAGATTCGGAAAGGCCCTCTTACCTGCTAGATCCTGCCAAACGGTGGGATGCAACCGTTAATCTCCTCCACTGTTGGATGAGGAGCAGCAGATAAAATCTTCTCTTACACTGCCCTTAGYTCAAGTTCTTGTTTTTATATCAGAGCATCAGTTACAGCAGCTCCACTGCATATTTCTTATCCCCCACACTAAGACAGCCTAAGGCCTGACAGCCTTCAGTTTAGAAAGCAAAACTGGATTTTGAAAACCATCCTCCTCTTGCCCACCCTAAGCCCAACCTTCTCCTAGTATCCCCTTTTTTCCTACCTGTTTAAATTCTCTCCATTCCTTTGCAAGAACCCCCTAGTAAACTGCTGGAAAGGGGGAAGGAAAACTKAAGAGAATAGCGCAGGATTTGCTCTTGCTGCTAACAGTGAACGTTGCATCTCTCTCTCAGCATCTCTTCGTACATGGAACAAACAGGCACTGTCTGGTATGTCTTCCTTCTCCATTGTAAATCTTTTCCAAACTTCTTTACACCTTGCACTGTACTCTCATCACAGTCCAAACAGGCTGGTAGGCAAAGACTTGAACCACTTGAAGACTTGAACCTCTAAGTATGCTGCACCTCCCCTGCCTGAGATAATAAACCAACACGTGCCTGACACCTCATGTTCACCTGGCTCCATGACTGTCCCTCACACAAGCTGTATCTTCAGCCTGTCCCCTAGAGGAACTGCCTTGGCTTGCTCTGCTTTTCAGTGGGTCCCATCCCGCTCTGCACACAGCCCCTGGGGTAAATGGACCTGCAGGCACAGACTCAGCTACTATTTCTGCAGCAGTAGCTTGCGTTTCTGCTTCTTTGCCTCAGAGCTACTCCTGTCCAAACTAAAATCTCTGCTGGTCTCTGACATTTCTGCTCAGGTTTCTAGCTGTCAATTCTGGTTTTGCTATGCTACATTTGAGAGCAGCTCCCTTTTCTTAAGGCAACTTCTCACCATCTCTTTTTTGGTCATTACACACTCCTCCTCCTGCAGATCACTGATCAGTGAATCTGAATGTCAGTCTTTACCTCCAACTCCTTGCAAGGTCGTCAGAGCGAAGCAGTGCCTGCATTTTCTATGCTTTCTGAGCAATACATCTAAATTATATAGCTTTTCCGACTGACTCACATAGTAAAGTTTTAATTCAAGCTCACARGCATTCTGCAAGTTTTCCTTTTGGCCTCAACATAAGGCAATTCTGCTCTTCTGATTTCTGCTCTAATTTCCTTGTCCATCATGCTGTCCACATCATTTAATTTTACCTCTCTCTGCTAACTCTCCTCCAACATATCTAACTTCCTCTCTCCTCACTTTGCGAGTCTTGCATAGCCTAGCAACATTGTATTGACCACCGTTGTAAAACTTGAAAGGTTAATTCCCACCTCCACACGAACCATGAATTCAGGCTCTTCTGTCCATTTATTCAATCTTCAATCAACTTATTCTGAAGAAAAGATCAGTTCTTACCATTAATTAATGTCCATTACAAGTAATTTGAAAATAACCACAAAGTTTCATCGTTATTTGCTGTCATACTCTTCACAAAATCTGGTTTTACCCATTAAAAAAAAAGAAGAATCAGACACATAGGTATGAGTTCACCAAGATCTTAYAATTCCACAATGCCTATACAAACTCAGCATTTAATCACGAGGACATTGAATAGCTGAGATTTGATCCAAATGGTATTTCCCTCTTGATGTTTTCAGAGAAGCTGTCACCAGGTGCCGTGAGCTGGGACAGGAAGGACCATGCTGAAACTGCTTAGTTGCTGTGTATGATACCAYTGAGAATGGAGCACAAACAAGCCCTTCAGTACATGGCCACATTAGAGCACCAGGCTTTTGAARCAGGAGGTTGGAGCTGCCTCTTCATTTTTGCCTTGCTGCCTAAGGTAAAGATAAGSTAAGTCAGCAGCGCTCATGTTTTTGATCACTTCCAATTCATATTTCACTAAGTACCTGCAGAAACGTTTAGTTTCAGGATGCTGAAAAGGGRGTATTTTGCAGGGAGTGGGAAAGAAATGCAAGGAATTGTGCTCCTGACCTCTGCCGTTCTGGCCAGGGAAACCACAGACAGCAATCCTGTCTAGTCACATCCCACTGACAAGAGCGTAAGCGCTCAGCAGGCAAAGGAGGATTTGTGAGCAGCGGTGATATTTTCTTGAGCTCCTCTGGTTTCTGCAGCTCAGTTTATATCCTTGACAGGTGAGTACCCTTGAATTTGTTTCAGTATTTCATCTGAGCTCAAACAGGACACTGTCTGATTTCAGGCAGCCAGCTCTAGACAGTAGCATCGCTACCAAGCAGCAAACTGAACCCATGACTCCACCTCTTGTGGCTCAAGCACAGGCAGTAGTGATTTATATACCTGTCTGGAGGGAGGGATAGGATCCAGAGAATATTCCCATCATGCTTATATAATSTAGGTCATAACTCCATTTCTTCCACTTCTGAAATTGAAGCTAGCATTGCCAATCCACAATTATATTGTTCTGCCTTTTCAGTGTGTTCATAAGCTAGAGAGTAATTATTTCCTTGTTTGCTCAGTATATTTAGCAAAATAATTATAACTCACTAGAACGTATGCTTTGTCTTGGTATATTGGCATAGTTCTCTCTCTGCTTAGCTCCCTTTCACAGAAGGCACGATGTCATTTTCGCCTGCCTGTTCCCTGGGTTCACACGTAAGAAAAGACACTAAATATTTTCTGACGCAGGAAATTCCATTTAAAGAGTCTTACCTAGTTTCCCAAAGGAAAATATCAGGAATATAGAAGAAATTATTGTGAAGGCAGGTGATAAACTGTCTGCCTGATACTATTTGCTCTGTCCACACCAGTCGGGTGAACAGGACATTTCCCTAACTTGTGCTCTGTGAGGCCACATTGCCAAAGGAAGAAGTAGTAGAAGGCAGTAACGAGTCTACCTGCAAACCTGCAAGCCTTGCAGCATTCAACAGGAAGAATCCTGGGTCACTTATCTGCTCGATGCCATTTACAAGACATTAGGGTACAAGGAACCAAAACTCCCTCCAGGCAAGCACAAAGCCGTGTGCTGCAGGATCCCGTGGCAGCCTCACTCGAGCTTTCTTCCTTGCATGGTCCAGAGCTAGCCTGAAGCTGGAGCACAGATTGARGCTCAGGCACAAATAATGTGAACACCACAGATTTCATGCCTATAATATACATATTCCATAAGCAACAAAGTTCATTTTTGAACACAGAACTCCAAATCTTCACTGATCCTGGGTCTCCTTCCCCAAAATGCTTTCAGAGGCAACAGATCCACTACCCATCTGACGGTATTTTCCCTTGCCTGTTCCTGAAATTGGATTATTGTTTCCAGTCTCGCTAGGCCTGACATTCTGGATTTGATGTTTGCTGCTGTTCACTGACCTGTACTCCAGACAGTTTCCGGGATGTGTCTTTCCCGCTCTCCCAAGCCTCTCGCGACACGCGGTGTGTGACCCTGGCCGATGCCACCTGCAGCAGCGGGAGGCACAGGGCTTCTCCCAGGAAGGCCTCTRGAGGTCCCAGGAGGCTGCCGGTGCTACACTAAGCTATTTTTAACAACAGATTCAAAACCTTTTTCCCTTCTCAGAGTTATTTTTGAAGTATCAGAGTGTTTTTTTGTTCTGCTCAATATCCCTGAAACAAGCTGTATAGAAATCACTGATGTCAACACTGAAAAGACGACAGGAGAGTACAGGAGGAAGGGAGAGAATTTGACTGTCTCGTTTTTACCTCTCCCTCCCCTCCTTTTCTTTTAAGTAGCATCTCCTTCCTAAGCTAAGCAGAAGTGTGCGTTTTGCCTGTGGAGATGAGGATGCTTTGCCATTAGAAATAGGGGGCGATGGGTTTCATCAATTCAGGTTGCAAACCTTGTTTAGGAGGGGGAAGGGAGAAGGGCTGTACATGCAAATCAAATTTTACCCTCTAATGGATTTGCACTCGCAGCAGGTCCCAGAGCCCACCATTATAAGCATTTGCATTAGACACAGTGATCACATTTCTGAACCCTTTATCTCCTGCCCATTGAAGTCAGTGGCCATCAGGATTAGATTTCATATCTTAATGAGAGCTTGGTCCAAACAATATCGTGTTTTTAACTGCCTGTTTTGTCTTGATGTAAATATAAGCCTGACTAAGTGAGAACACTCCTGCCTCTCTTCTCCCACATCTACCCTAATAGCTTTYTGGATAGCTGCATCTGCTATGCATTTGCCCTGAATTTTACAGAAATTATTTTTATTGTCTAGAAAAGAGAACTCTCCAATTACCCCCCAGTTACTCTCAATCCTATTTTTAGGCACACTTGAATTGGTAAGAGGTATCTAAGTCTTTACTTGTTTTATACAGTAGGCACAAAACCTGATGCTTTTTGGAGGAAAAAAGGTAAAAGAGGAGACACACAATGCCCTTTCCCGACTTTCTGAAAACTGAGAGTTGATTAAAAACTTACTGCAAGCGGTAACATTTATGTCACATTTGTCCCTTTTCTTCCCAGACTTTTGAATGTGATCAGTTCAACAGCTCCAAAAGGAGCATTGCRGTGCTTCCTGCCACACAGTAGTGGAAGAAAGCTTAAGCAGGGTATGTTGAATGTTAACAAAGAAGAGATTTCTTTGCACTTAAAAAAAAGAAACTGTTCAGCGGTTCCTATACTTAGTTCTTTACATTGTTAGCCCAGTCTACAGAACAGATTTCCTATAGAACAGCTTTCTGCCGGACACCTAATTCTACCCGGAAAATTCAACAAGGACTTGTTCACTTTTATTTTGGTAGCCTAAAAATATCTCCAGTTTATTGGCCTTCTGTTTGAAAATACCCATGGCAATGATTTCTTCTACTGCAGCATCACCCATCATCCAAAATCAGGACTGGCACAAGGCCCAGGCCGTGCTGCTGAGCGCAGCTGACACTTGCAGTGAGCAAGGACAGCGACCTCCCCTGCCCATTCTCCCTTTGCCTTGTCAGGAGGAGCTGGCTGTGCCACAGCTGCTGCTGCTTGTGCTGGGCTGGACACGTGGCAGGAACCGACTGCTAAGGTCAGTGGAGAGGCTCATCCCTCCTAACAAACACAGATTTGGCCTCCAACCCACACCCTATAGCGGGAGCAGCTGCAGCCTCTCCCTCGTGCTGGCTGTGCCACCCCTGCCCTGCCTGCTTTCCCCCTTGCAGGAGCRGCCTGCAACCTCTCCGTTTCAGAGCAGCCAAGTTCAGCCGTGCCAACACCGCTGAAAACTCTCCAGGCTTGTTTTGCCTGCTAAAGCAAAGCAGCCACAGTGCTGAGAACATTCCAGGTATCTGCACTGCAGAGCTATAAGTCAGGTGGTGCCAAGCGCCCRCGTAGGATGGTGCCACTTTCCCTCACGCTTCGTGGCGGCACTGCAGCCCCGCTCCAYGCTGTGAATCCTTAGCTCTTTCTACAGGCAGCCCTGCTCTGTACATTCAACCACAGCGAGACAACTTGGGGCACATAGTTCAGATGCTCCCTGGCAACAGGATAACTCTCACCTGGGTTTGGGAAGGTCTAAAAGCAGAGTCGAAGCCGTTCTGCAGAGAGTCCAGAAAGGGCTGGATTTTGTAGAGGCCGTGCGTGGTCTGGCTCGAGCGGAAGGCCACAATGTGGAAATACTTCAGGATCTTCTCAAACCGTGACTGTGTCATGATAAGTGCAATGCTCCTGTTGCTGTAGAAGCCACTGCTCCAGATGCTGAGAACAGACTCACAGTGGTGGATGCTGGTTGATATCATATAGCCTAAAAAGGCCTTCATTTCTGTCAAGGTAACATCAATCCAGGCATCGTCACTGCCAAACCTCTCCTGGTATTTCTTGGCATACATGTTGGTTTGGACCACCATGTTCTTTAGTACGTTGTCAGGAACAAAGAGCTGAAAAAAGTCCATGGCACTGGCAGTTAAGGGCATTTTTCGTGTTGGACCTAGGACAAAAGCAGAAAGGGAAAATAATCTCAGTCCTGATCATCACAGCTATGTCTGCTCTAGGAATTTAAAGCAGGACCAACTTGAATACTTGACATAAATTATCATATTCAGATCTGAATCAGCTCCCTAGTCACAGATGTAATGGAAACACAAGGAGTTTCCATTCCATTCGGTCATGAACACTGCAGGTCAATACTCGACTTTAGCTACCAGGAGAAAATGATCTGGGCAGACACAGTACTTAAAGCAGTGACCATCAGGTCAGTAAGGCACCTCAACAATCAGGATGCTTGGAAAAATCAGGTCAAAGTGAGGCCATGTCAGCCAATTCCTTTGAAAGTGCATCCTCCAACTGATATAAGTACAACACACACTGAATAGTTCCTTCATTTTGCAAACTCGTTAGCTCCTAAGAACATTTAGAGGAAAGAGGGAAGAGGTTTGTGAGCTAACATGTTTAATCTTTCCACATGCACAGTGTCTGTATCTCTTCCTCTCAGCTGCTACCGTGGCCTTCTTTTCCTGGATAGTCTTTTATTTAAAATGTGTTAAAGCAGCTCCTGTCCTGTGTTGTCCAGAAGCAGAGATATCTGTGCCATCCAGCGTCAACCTTGCCTCCATCCCAGGTTAGACAACTGCCTTGCACTCAGACACTGATCCCACCTTCTCTTTGTTATTTTAAATTCCTCCTCAGTTCACTATCATTAATCCAGCAACTTTCCTATCTGCTCCTGCAGAGCTTTGCAGATCACGTCCCTGCACTTTGAAGTCCCCTATTTATGCCACCACATTTTAGAGCCTCATTCCTCATACCCTGATATCCACAAGAGACAGCACGCGCTAACAGCCCGAGTCAAAAACATAACGTGGCTAGTTTTACTGCCCCACATCAGGTGGAATATTTTAGATGGAATATTTTTTCATGCATGCAGTCCTTTTCCTCATATAATACAATAAACCTTGCAGTCCCAGGCTATCATTACTCTGCTTTTTCTACAGATATTGTACCTTCTCGGCAGTTTTCAAATATTTAGGGGRAAGGGGAAGGTGGGGGGCACCTTCCCTTTGGTAGCATCATAGCAGTGTGAAAAGGTAACGCATTCAAACACTAGCTTACATTATGCTGAATTAGAAACATTAAGCTTGTCCTACCAAGTAGACCCAATCCCCACAGCCCTCTCTCCCATCCATAAGCCATTCAAGCACCATCTTCCATGCCCACCATGGCAGTGCCTTTGTCACCAGGCAAAGGCTAAGGGGAGAAAGGGTCCTGTTCTCCTGCAGAAGCTGTGCCACTTTCAAACACACAAATTAATACAGCAAGAGGGGCAGTATGTTCTTACCCACAGCCTCATCCATTAGGTCATGAGCAGTCCTACATCCCTCTTGCAAAGGATAATCTGGGGTTAAAAGCAGGACCATAGAAGTTGGATCCAATAAATACTGTGCATTAGTTCAGCAGCRTCCTTTCAGTCTCACATCTGTCTATACAACATCTTCATGATTAGAAGCAGAACGTGTATGTTATCTCATTTAGAGCTCTGYCTAATGGCAAAGAGCCCTCCTTGCACCACATGGCTGCTTGAATCTCAAGCTTCTGTTCTAACTGAATCAGGGCAAGACATTTGGGATCTGTGATCTGGAACCGCAAGGATTCRTTAACGTGTGGGTTAGGTCACATGCTTTTGTACACCCTGCATCTCAGTTCACTTGCTTAGTCATTGCAAATTGCAGAAACGTCTCATGAACAGTATTATAGGATCTACAGAAACACTGAGCGTGGCTGTTCTTTGGCCATTCTTTGGCCTTTATATTTGCACATATCCTGCTAAGCAGGAAGAACACGAGTTATTAGAACTATAGCCCAAAATGATACCAAAGTGTTAATGTGATAAACCTTCACATTGGAGAGTACCAAACAAAAGCAAACACAAGTGCATTTTTTTTTTCTTAACTACAGCAGGAAAAAAAAACATATGTTAAAAAATAATTCCCAGTTTTAAATTGTGGGATTAAGAAACTGTAAGTAGTTCAGACAAAAGTGCATTCCTCTATATAGCAAGAAGAGAGTGGAAGAATACCACAAAAAATGTTCTAGATAGAACATAGCAGAAAATCTCAGTTTAAATGATAAAAGGTTTCCTTTATCAGGTGAAAACTATGGGGCTAGAATAGATACACTCACTTAACCTTAACTGCTATTCCAATAATAAAGCCAGTCACAAAGACTTCTTTTGATCAGGAGATTTATATTCCGCGAGCACACACTGCACTGTTGCAGCTGACATAAAATGCTCTACAAATGATTGTGTATGAATGACTTACAGCACACCACTTTCTCCTTCCCCACAACCTGATTAGGTTTTGACTTGCTACGAGATCTGTGGCTTCCTGACAAGGACCCGCTGTGCCGAGCACGTTCTGACTTGGATATGAAGTCCTGAGCAGCAGCTGTGGAGTTCAGCTCCAGCATCCAGGTAATCTTCCTGCTGGAGCACAGAGGTGGCTTCTAAGTTCTTGCCTGCAGAAGGGCAACGTTTCGAATGTTTCTTGCCTGGTAATCACATATGCAAGTGCATTTTCAACAGCTGTAGGAGTTTACCCCAAAAAGTGGTTACTGAAAAGACAGCTATTCTGGACAGGACACTCTCTTAGCCAGCAGATCTGCTCCATTTGCACGGAGAATCTCCTATCTGCTCTCCTGCTTTAAATAAATAAATATACAAGATTTGTATTCTCTTTACCATGCTGAACTCACATAGCTCAATCAGAGTCAACTAAATCACTCTCTGGTTGAAACATCAACCCAACAGTTCATTAAATAATTCTGAAAGTCTGTGTACAATCCTGTTGTCTTGAAAACATCCTTCATTGGTGGAATGAGCACCTTGGAGTCACAGCTTACTGAGATGCAATAAACATCAAAACTCAGTTTCTGGAAGGGAACTGAATTTTTTAACATACATTGGCTTCTGCATAGTTAACGACTAAGCTAAAATGAATTACTTAAACATGACCCTCTAAGTACACATGTATATTCCACACACAGAGCAAACTACGTAATAAATTTAAATAGTGAATTTACCCTTTTCAAGGACTTTCACATTAACTTATATGGAACTTACCCTTACTTACTTACAAGAACTAACGAGAACTATTGATATGAGATAGGTGCATCATTTACCCTTCAAAGTTTCATTTGGTCAAAATGTTGACTAACCTCCCTTTCTCTTTTAGTGAATAAAACTTCAGTAAATTCTGGCTCAGGTCGTATTTTCTGGAATATGGAAAACACCACAAACATCCCCTGTTAGGASAGTACACCTATGCTTCCCTCTTCCTTCCAGCCTATCTACCAGTAAAAGCTGGCATACGGACTCAGCAGCAGCTGCCTTGCTGTTCCTGCTAGCTGCTCCTGCTGTTCCTAGGTTCTGTTTGGAGCCGGTTGGTGGCATCTCCTCTTGTGCTCTCAGCACAGCCTCCCTCCTCAAGCCAACCAGGGCAGAGCAACACCCTTCAAATTACAAGCACGGAGCCACCACAGCTCCACAGCAGCGCTGGGGCTGCAGCCACCCGGCTRCCTCCAGCCCGTAGCGAGAGGAGCTGCTGCGTGCCCAGCTCGCAGCAAGCTGCCGTGTTGCACAAAGCCCGGGAAGGGTTAGGGAAAAAATTCGGGCAGGCCCTGGGCATCCTCCTGGGAGGCCCRGGCAGTCCATCATCACAGGCCCAGTCACACTTTTCCTCCTGCTCCAGGCTCACTTGTGTTTCTAGCCCTCCTGAGTGACATTTCAGAAAAAWAGCAAGACTCTCAAGTGAACTAATTGCTGCTTCTTTGCTTGCCCAGTGTGCAGGACTAAATAATTGGAGTGCATATTTTTAATAGGTTAATTCATCCTTTTCCATTCTTCTAGTTCTCATTACCAGCCTGTTAGTTAGTAGATCAAAGTYCAGAGACTCAGGTTAAAAAGTGGACAATTTGAAACCTACTTTAATTTATCARGGCTTAAAACATAACATACAGATCTTAAAAGAGGTCAAAAACATTTTTATTTGGGGCTGATTAATCTGAGGTCTAAGAGAAAAAAAAAGAATCAAAAAAATCTCTTCCTAAGAAGACCCACTGCTCTCAAAGCACCGCTGAAATTTATGATATAACATCCTGTTACCTTGAGAGGCCCTGGAAATAACACACATGCCAATTCAGGCTGCACAGTTTGGAAAGAGTCAAAATCAAYAGCTTCATGAGCCGAGTATTTAACTCCCAAATCAGTTATTATGTAATATTGGTGAAAGCATCAGTTTAAGAAAAGGACCATTTGGAAGTCATACTGTGGTCCTCTTTGAGCAGGACTTTGATAATTTATAGATAGGCACTAAGATCACATTTATGTATTCTATACAGGCACAAATCTGAGAAATAAGTCTGCCCAGAGCCTGTTATCTTCCTGGGAATGGGAAGTATTTTCTCCTCTGACATATGGCATAACTTTTAAAGACAAGCGCTTGACAAGCCATTTAATTCCTTCACCCTAAATCCAAGCAATTAGAGACTGTTYGAAATTTGTAAGAAGTTATCATTCCAAAAGGACACCACATGATATTTGGGTCTTATTTAGAGAAAGTCAGAAAATGTTGACTAAGCTACTTTCTGTCAGGAAGTGCATATTCATCAGAATCATTCACAAGAAAGTGCCAATTGATGAAATGTGACAGAAAGAAAAGTCTAAATAATTTCCAGCTTTTTCTAAGAGCGGAAAGCAATATAAAGAACAAAAAAAATAGTATAAAAACCAAAAACAATGTTTTGATATTTCTGATTTTTTTTTTTCCAGAATTTCAGTTTCACACTGTTCCCCCATGCAGGCTTTGGAGGCACTGGAGCTTATCTGACTTGCTGAAGAAAYCAGTTTGCAGATCAGCTCTGTTCTTAATGGCCTGGAAGCGACGCACATCAGACCCATCTGCAGCCATATCCAGCTTGATGGCCTTATGACAA